TATATTATTATTTAATACATTTTTAAGTAGTGTCATAATGATATTCAATAACTTTAGGAACTTCGTCTGTTTAGCATTTTGCATAGGTTAACTACGTATTGTTAAATTTATTTGTATCACATGTCAAGAGTTTTTGAGGCAGAATTTGAGCTTATTTAATGTATTGTTTCGATATTATTGATTCTAACCTCAAGTTTTTGGTTTTCATTCATACAGATTGCTGATTGGATGCTGAAATCACTTTGAAAGAACACATCTCGATGAATCCTGTGTAAATTTGGTATGTTGGTAACGTTTAATTATTTCATTCACATTATTATTTTATGTGTGATCACTGACTTTACTTGAGCAGCGAAAAAAGTCATTATAAATTGAACTTTCATCATGTGCACATTGATTAGACTTTCAAAGTAAATTTGAAATATATTTCTGAATATTCTAGTTGTTTAAACAGTATCTATTATTTAAAGAGTGTTAAAAATGCTGAAAATGAATGCGATAAAAGTGTTAAAAGTGAGTTAAAAGTGAAATTGAGGACTATGTTCAAATACATATTGCTAAAAAAGCAAAAGCATCAGATGTGTTCAAGAAGTTCAGAGGTATTGAACATAATCAAGTCCAATGCAACTAAATCTTAATCTACAATTTTGATTTCAACAACTAGTAAGTTGCATAGTTTAGTTTTTTTTGGTGTTGGGTTAATAATTGATCTTGATTATTTGAATATGATTTCAATTGCCATGAATGGTATCGTAGTCGTACGAGATATACTTTGATACTTATTCTTTATAGTAATTATCTTAACGTATGTTACATTTCTGCATGTACATAGATAATATTAGTTTAACAATACTATTGTTATTTAGATATTATCAAATACTTTCAATATTTCTCTTTGAATCTATAATTAGGAAAATAATTTAGTCTTTTAATTTATTAAACAAGAATATTTATTCAATATCTTAAATTAGTCATTGATCAAACAATTATGCCTTATTTTACGAATATCTTTTCTTTTTCTCTCAAATTACTTAAATTCAATACATGTGTAAATTGTGACATATATGATAAATGTATAAAAAAGTACTGATCTACAAAACATTATAATGAGACCCCTGCGTAGTCACCTCCACGTGGTGGGTCTTGGTAACTGACATCGTTTTACAAACTTTAATATTTATAAAACGATATCAAGCTAAGAACTACGCAACCTACAGTTCAATTTAGATTGTACAAATTTTTTCTTTTCCTTATTTCATGGTCTAAATTGGACTATAGGGACAATTCGTTGATAAATAAGCTATTAGACCCCCCAGCGAGGTACCGAGGGATGACGTGGGACAACAAGGGACATCGTGGGATGCGTGCGTTTAGTTTTAATTAATCATAAGATAATTAATCACTAAATTCAGTGTGACGCATTCTGTACAAAGCGTGCAATATTGAACGATATTGAAACATATTAATAGTTTCTTTTGCCTTATTTCATTCAAAGTTCAATAAACGTATCTTTGATACAAAATGCGTTAATAGGGCTACGAATTATTGTACCATTATTGTGCAACACTTTCCTAACTTGGGCCAATATTTCCCAAATATTCCCAAATACGTAACGAATAAAGTATGTTCGCGCGTTCTACTCGCCATCACTTTTCGATAATACGATGTATTATCGTGTTCTTTCAACAATTTCTTACTCAGTCGAATCGATGTACGCTGTAAGCCTTGTACGTGTGCTTGTCTCGAACAGTCATGTATAAGCTACTGTCTCGGCTTAGATATTCGCTCCTTTACGGACGAATGCTCTGCTAATTGCTAAGAGCTTGAGATTTTTGGACGCACGAAAGTATTTTTCAGCGGCAGTTTATTCCTTCCGATCGCGTCGCGATCTTTGCTTTGTATTCGAGTTTGAAATGAAAGACATTAGTGTCGCGCAAGTAAAGTTGTATAGTTTGACATATCGAAACAAACTCTCCCTCGCCCCCTTTGTAACTAGTTTCTTCAGTCGTTTCAAGTTAGACAAATGTATTATTAATATGAAAGTCTGCAATTCTTGCGATTTATTATTATATGATTTGCATTTGTATGTATTGTATGTATTTTATGATTGTACGAGAAATGAACTTATTGTTAACGCGATTGTTTAGGAGACAGAGTTTCATAGTTCAAGCTCATACTTGTGTTTTAGAGTTGAGATTTAGATTTAAGGATGAGATTGAACTATGGAACGCTGTCTCCTTTTTACGTAACCTCGGACTAAATAGAATAAAAACTCGGTATTCATTATGCCGAGTTGCTTTTATGTAATGGAAAGTGGATGGGATTAGGGCCCAGGGCGGGTCTCATGCGCGGTCACTTCTTCGTGGTGAGACCTGGTAATTGATATCGTTTTCCAAACTATTTTTGTAAGACGATATCAAGCCAAGAACTACGCAACCTACAGTCCAGTCTAGATTATGCAAATTTTTTTCTTTTTCCTTTTATTTGGTATCTAGTCTGGCCTGTCATTTAGTTGATAAGTAAACTATTAGATCTTTTCGCAGTGCGTTTAGTTTTAGTAGTAATAATTAATCATAAGATAATTAATCTCTGTAAATTCAATGAAAGCACATTCTATAGAATACGCTTGTCACTATAATATATATGAAACAACTTTTATTTTTTCTTTAAACATGTAAAATATTTTGAACCAATTTTAACTTAATTATAATTATTTTCAATTTAAACTTTGATTTGTATTTTAATATATTGTGCTTTGGTTTACTTTTCATCATCTTTTTTTCGAAACTTCCTTTGCTGTTCGTTTGCATAATAATAAGAAATTCTAAACATTTTACAATTGTATATCAAAAGGATTTCTTTTTTTTTTAAAGTAAAGAAGAGTGGAACAAGGATATGTAGTAACCTCAACGTGGTGAGACCAGGGTAATCAGTATTATTTCTGATACAATTACTAATTGCATTACTGCGATACAGTTAATATAACAATTATGAGTTAATATAACAATATGAGCTAATAAGCGATCACGATTTAGTTTTTATGTAATTAAAGAATTTGTTGAGTTGTTAGAGAGATTGTTGATTTCTAAAATTATAGATTGAATTTTTTTGTGATAACATATAGTGCATTTTTAAATATTGTAGAAGACCGTAGACTTCAGATTTTGATGGATATTTCAAAACATGATTTGATAAAATGCAATGTCTCCTTTTTGATTAACTATCAGGTCCATTCCAAACATATTTCGTTCCTAAATATTTCAATAAATAAGAAATCCTGTTATAAGTATTGATTTTATCGTTTCCAACGAAAAACCAATCGATGAATTCGTAAAACACGAAGAGAGCTTTTTCTGACACACAATAAATACATAAATAAAAAATGGAATAATTTTAAATACTAATCTCATGTTTTAGAATCTGGAAATACAATTAAACATTTTGCTTGTATCATTTTAGTTAATATAATCACAAACGAACTTTACATTTTAGTATTGAAAATTTGACAACACTGATGAATCTCAAAAATCATATTACTGGCGCATTCACTAATTCCCTAACTCACCGTTGTTTAAACGTAGAGTGCGCTGAAAAACCAGTGATTTTTTAGTATATTGGTATTTCAGGCCACGAAAGTCTGTAGATGCAATGTCTATTCATATACCTCGTCTGTGACCTCGTCTGTAATAGCACTATAGCAAATTATAGACGAGGTATATATCTCGTCTGTAACCAATATAATGATTAAGTAATAAAATTAAAGAATCTGTTACGCTATTGTCAAATAGTGTATCTCCAGATTCCAAAACACGAGATTGGTATCTAATATTATTGCATTTTATATTATGTACTTATATGTAAGTAGATCAGAAGCTTTATCCGTGTTTTACGAATCATAGGTTTTTCGTTGAAAACGATAAAATCAGTGAAAAAAGGATCTTTCATTAAAGTATAGATGAAATATACTCAGAATGAACGTATGTAATTTATACATATACTCACATATATTTATAATTTATATTTATATAAAATTGAAAAATTATTAATGGCATTTCAATAAAAAATATTTTATTGTGTTGCATTTCGTTAATCTGCAATTTAAGGTGCTAATTCTAATCATATTGAGAATATCAAAGGAATATAACAGAACTTCTATATAAATAATCCCTTTTATCAGATGTTACTTAAAATTATTTTTTAGAACATATTTGAAAATTTGAAAGTCATTCCAAGGTTCACTGCAAATACGAATAGCAGGAACTGTAACGCATCCTACAGTAGTTTGATTGGTCGACAAAATACAGTTCATCATGGAGTACGTCGGTACGTACTAACTTGACGATTTTCGTGTTTTTTATTAGCAATATTCAATCGATAAATATTTTTTACCTTCATTTTCTGTATTTATTTGTATTTATTTTGAAAAAAAATTATAATTAATATCTGCTTTCCAAAAAATATTAATTGGTCAATCGTGTATGTTGGATTAATTTTCGTGCAAACATTTATTTATATACTTTTACCATAACTTTTTTTATGAATATAATTCAAAATAATTTTAAAAGTTACAGAATTTGACATTATAAATTTCTTGACGAAATGCATTCTCCCTGTTCTTTCATAAATATGTCATTTTAAACATAACCTCATCATTTACAAAAATCTTTCTTTTTGTGATTTATTCGATAGTTAAATTTTTACTATTTTTCTTATAATCGATCACTGTATTATTAAAATCTTATAGAAATATCTGTTTTATAAGATCGTATTATATTTGACACAATGATATTAACATTTATAATATATTAAATCTCTTTTATTTTGTAGATGCTGCAAAAAGTGAAAGCAACGACAACTCATGTAACTCGACTTCTTGTGCTGAATTGCTATCAAAAACAAATTCTAATGAAAATTTGTTGGTAGAAACGAAAGATTCAACGTCAAAACATGAGATTGAAAACATACAAAAGATAGATAATAATATTGCAACTACCTCGCAAAATCCACCCCAAGAGAATATAGACTTTAAAGTGATATATAATAAGCAAAGGATTAATGTAAATTTTCCACTTGATGGCACAGTGGCGGAATTAAAAACTCATCTCCAAAATATCATATCCGTGCCACAAGCTATGCAAAAAGTTATGATCAAAGGATTAGCCAAAGATGAACAAACATTAAGAAACTTGGGTGTTACAAAAGGTAATTTTTATAGTATAATACAATGTTCGCTGTTGTGTGGTTTTCATTAAATATATTTATTATATGCTATTATACAATTATATTTTAAGGTGCCAAAGTCATGGTAGTAGGGTCAAAACTAGATGATGTATTAGCCATTTCGATTCCAACAAAACAGGATTTGTCAGATGAAGCTGCTTCCACTACAAATAAAGAACCTTTATCTCAGCAAAAAATGCATAGGAAAGTATTAGATAAAGGGATACCTGACGATGTAATGCCTGGTATATTAGATAGTAAGGTATGACTTATTCGCTTTAATGAAAATAATAATTGTTATTTATTATTGTTAGTATTAAGTATTATATATTTTAACTTCACTGTTCTAAATTTTAGGAACCTCTACCAGAATTTCCATTGGCTGGCATGTTAAACAAATCTGGTGGTAAAGTTAGATTAACATTTAAATTGGAGCAAGATCAACTTTGGATTGGTACAAAAGAAAGGACAGATAAAATACCTATGAATTCCATAAAAGGTGTACACAGTGAACCAATACATGATCATCCAGAATATCATATTATGGTTTGTACTTAAAGATAAAGTGGTTTGTTCTAGTTTAATTCAAGTTTTCTATGATTCATCTGCCAGTTTTTCACAGAGAATGAATTAACTGTCATGTTAATACTATCTGAAACATTTTCTAAAATTTTAGGCTATACAGCTAGGCACAACAGAAGCTTCGAGATATTGGATATATTGGGTTCCTGCACAGTACATATCGGCTATAAAAGATGCTATTCTTGGCAAGTGGTGCTACTTCTGATTGAACATTGATGGAAATTTTGGTCTATTCGAAAACAAAGCGTAATCAGGTGTAAGCATTGATACAAACACGACTGTACTAGTCACACGTTTTTAACAGTAAGTAATAACTTATTTTGCGTTGGATAATAACTGATATGTTTTAATAAAAATATTCTCTCTTTCTGTTAAGGAAGTTTTCTTAGACGATTTTTAATTTTGTTAAAAACAATAACAAAGATATTTTATAAAAATTGATACAATTCTAATAGCAAAAAAAGAAATGTTTATACAATATTACGATTTCCGAGTTACTGAAATCTTTTAATACATTGAAATAATACTGTAACTGTAATCTTATTTTCTGTGAATTATATCATGTATAAGATTGTAAATATAATAAGTTTTTTAACTCTTATAAAAATACATTTACATTTAAAAAAAACATTTTATTATCTTAGGAAAAAAAATTGTCATTTAAATGAACAGATCAAAGAATTTCAACTTTTCTGTTTATTTAAATAGAAACACTTGAATCTTTAAAATAAAAGTGAAATGTTTGTAAAATTACATTTGTAGGAGGAAGTGAAGAAAGAAGTTATGATGTTGCATTTACAAACTTTTGAAGTTCGTCGAGAAATTATTCAACTTTTTACTAGATTTAATGACATCAAATGAGAAATTAAAGTAATTTAAACATTTAAAAACAGATTGTTTCAAATCTGTTTTTATAATTACAATTTATGTTCATTATTAAAACTGATTTTAAAAGTATTAAGTTTCAAAACAAATATGTTGCAAATTTGATTTGATTAAGAAAACAAAAGAGAAATTATAAACATTTATTAGGTTGCAATGAACTAAGTTATCAAGAAATATAGTCCGCATTTTACACGAATAAAAAAAAATGCAATTCAGTACAGTGAGTGGTACTATTCGATTATGAAACAACGAATTTGTCGAAATACATTTGATATTGGCCTATATGTAAGACGTATGACAAAAATTGATCAAGGCAATTAAGAGTCATCAAAAATTTCGCTGTGTAATAGAATTCAAGTGGACTGTATATCTCGACGAACGTAAGTTAAATTATTACGTAATGTTAGTATTATAAGCTGCTGTAAATTAGGTTTTGTACTGTACAACATGTACAACTGAAGAAAGGAGAATCCAGAAAAACGACAAATCAAACTTGTATTTACCGTAATATCTACATGGAATTCATAACTATTTGCACATTCGAAAAATTATCAGTGTCCATTTAAAACAAGACTTGTACATCATGTTGTGTGATTTGATAAGAATAAACAATTTTAAATCTTCTCTATCGTGAGACTTTTCTTTACATTTTCTTTTTTTCTTTTTTTTACCTATAAACTATATTGAAATATAAATATTCGCCACTAACTTCAGCCATTCTACAAAATAAATTACAATAAATTAATTTTCAAATTTTTAAACCGATTCTAACTTTTTACCCGCATAGTTACGGGGCATTTAGATTATCTTATGTTTCTTTGTTATATGAACAGGAAACTTCCTATTATGGTTTTAAATTACTCGAGGTGAACAAGTCATTTTGCTGAGTCTCTATTTGAAATTAGAAAAAATAAGAATTGTTTAATATAACTCCACCTAAATAAAAAAATATGTTGTGTATTTCGTAAACAAACCTTCACATTTCGATGAAATATATGTAAATGGTTCAAGGTTTAATATAGTGTTTGTGTGCGTGTACATGCCAAGAGAATACATGTAACATAAATCGTGGTAATTGCTGTTTCTGCAATATGACTGGCTATTTAAATTAATTAGTGCCAATTCAAACTGTGCCTTGTATCATTTTTCACAAGTAATGAAATATCTCAAGTTGTTAACTTGTTATTATTAACTGACATCTAACCAACATTTAAGAAATGTGTTCCATACAATCCAGACAATGCTTTTCTCTGTGTGATGGTAGAAAATCCATGGTTTAATAAATAAAGTACGATTATGAATTAAGCAGTACTAAAAATAAGAAAAAGTTTAAAAAAATAAACAGAGAAACAATGAATTTAATCCCATATTCATCGCTGCGGACGGGATTAATGTTGTCATTAATTTAAAATATGAATATGTATTATCTCCTAAATAAATGATAAATATAAAAAGAAAACATCCAATGCTAATGGTTACTTGAATCTACATAGAATTTTAAACATTTGCTCTACTAGTAATGGAAGAAAGTGATAATATTTTAGAAGATATAGAAGGAACATTTCTAGCTTTAACCGAGAGCTTTCTAAAACAAGGTGCATCACTAGTAGAACTTAAATCTGCTAGTCTAGGAAATAATATAAAGAATAAAAAAAACCATATCATATATTATTTGTGTTCTAAAAAGATTCTTCTTGCCTTATTTACACCGATATTTTGTAGCATACTTTTTAAATATTTATATTTTGATATAATCAGAAGTGTTCGTGAAACTAGATGCTTAATACCAAATAATTATTTTATATGGGAATTTACAAGGCCAATATCAAATTGTGATTTTTGTCAGGGTGTTACTTCAGCATTGATCTTGCCAAATTTAACAAGAAATGAATTCAAACAATATGCCTATTCCTCTAGACCTATGGTAATAAAACATGCTGCAAGTCATTGGCCAGCTTCAAAGGTATTTAGCTGGAAATTCTTCAAAGATTTATATGAGAATATTGATGGGGCTTATGATTCAGTAGATGAATGTCAGTTTTTGCATTTTAAAAGTAATCTCACTAATTTGCGCGATGTTTTTGCAATGAGTGAGGAAAGAGCTATGCAACGTAATAGTAAAGATGCTTGGTATGTTGGTTGGAAAAATTGTCACCTTCAGATTTTGGACATTATGAAACAATATTACAATGTACCTCATTTTTTACCAGAGGATGCAGAGATTCCTTATTCCAATTATGTTTTTTTGGGATATGAAGAAGGTGCTATTATGCATGTATGTATAATAATAACAATACATGCACATTAATTTTTAATCAATTACAGACTTTATTTTTTTTATAGCTAGATTATATCTCGCGTCTAATGTGGCAAGGGCAAATTATAGGCAATAAAACATGGAGTGTCGCTCCAACTCCAGAATGTGATACTGTTTGTATGCGTTTTAATTTTACTGTTTATGCTGGAGACATTGTTCTGTTAGATACAAGAATTTGGTATCATAGCACTTATGTTGAAGGAGGAAATTTCAGTTTGACAATCACCTCAGAATATGGATAGATCTTTATATATAATGCAAAATTGTATTTGAACAATTTTATAGACTATATAGATAGCATTCTATGAAGTAAAAAATTTTATATTATTTTATAATATTGAGATTTAAAATGTCTTGTCTTATTAAAATTATTGCATTATATTAATGTTTAATTAAATATGTATAAAGTTTTTATATGTACAAAAACTTTAATATTATGGGACATGCTATCGATGAGTAGCATTATATTATTTGTATACAAAATTCTTATCTTCTATAGCAAAATATTTAAAGAAGCCATTTTTAATTATAAATATATGTGTGTGTGTGTACACACACACACACACACACAACACACACCATATATATTTATTAACGTATAGAATGCGTATCAAATGTATAAAAGATTAAATTTCACAATATTTTAGATTGTATATTCCAATTATTATAAAGTTACATATATTATAAGTTACAATTATTGGATATTTATTGATTTTGCCATAGTTAAAACTAGTCGAAATAAAAGTTATAGAATATTTTGAGTACTACTGACACAAATGAAATAACAATATAACTGCCATTATATAAATTATTTTTGTATTCATATATTTCAATTTTTATACATACATATGCATTTGAATGCATATGTTACAAGTTATTTTACGTCCAATAAAGAAATATATACAGTTAAGCATGCTTGGACTAATGAAGTTTCATATAAATTTAATATATAAACTTTATTAGAGGCAATCAATTGTTATTTATTTTATATTTAATTATATATATACGTACATGTACAAATATATTCAGTTTATAATTTTTTTAATAAAATATATGAATATAGATAACGTATTTCAGTGTGATTTTTTTTTCCATGCTCATATACAGCAACTTTTATTTTATATATTCATTTAATTGCATAAAACACAACGATAAAATTTTTATATAGATCATTTATACAGTTTACATTGTAATTATAAATACTTGTGTACTTTAAAGCACAAAAATACAATATATAGTGTTATATTTAGAAATTATGAATAGCATAAGAGAGATAGAAATATTATTCCATTTAATTACACACACCAAAATGACATATAGCAAAACTTAAAGTGGAATGCATATACCTGTTGCTATGCAGTATAGCATATTATACATATAATACTAATTGAACAAGTGCTGATGTTACATCATTATTTTCAGATTTCAAGGATGCATTTCTACTGATCCTTTTTCTCTGTTGCCTGTTGAAAACTTGGGGGGCTTTCCTAAAATATATACAAAGAAAAATTTGTTTGTAATATTAATTTTTGATTCTGAACGATATCTTCAAATAATTTAATTATTTTAAGTTCTACTTACATAGTATGCAGGTGGTGGAACGTAGGCACATTGTGGTCTGTTTGGATCATAATATGCACTTTGAGCAGCTTCTGCTGCTTTTGCATCTGTAAAAAAATGAAAAGAATAAAACACTGATGTAACAGAAGCGTTAAATTTTTTATCCGAAAATATGTTTAAATTTATGTCAAATCACATACATTTATACATGTTTGATGTAGTAAATTTAAATTGATCTGGCATTTTTTATTTTTATACAAATTTATTATTTAAATATTTCGTGCTTTGATCTTCTTAAGACAATTATTTGTTTTATAATGGTAATTAATAAATTTTATCATGAAAATAAAACTATGAAGTGCATTTGCAATATTTTCATATATGAATTTTGAAATATTCTGCCTAAGAAATTAATAAATTAATACAATCTTACAAACAGTAATGGAATAATATTTTATGGAAGGACACTTTGATTGAATGAGTCATTGATTGTATTAAAAATCTAAATTCTTTTCAATACTTTTAATAAAAGAAAAATAAAATAAATAATTGATGTAGTTTTTTGATAATTTATACAAATAAACAAATTAAAAATAATTAACGACTCAAAGTAACACCTCGCGTATTTTTGAACTATCTCTGACAACTATGAGATAATAACTGAGCATAGTGAAAGTCAACCTTACTGCAGGTCAACCAAACCTGTTGTGCAATAATGTTGCATAATATTCAAAACCTTAAAGTTTTCCAGGTAAAAACTATGATATTATTCAATCCTTTGAGGAAAAAAATTTATAAGATTTTTATAATAAAGCAATACTTTAAATTGGTGGGTTTAAATAAAAACAGCAAGTTATATTTGGCTAAATTTTAATAACATAATATGTTCTTGTATTATAATGATCATCACAAAGCTATATTTGAAGCAACAAAAATATAACATTTTAACATACAATGCCAACTGGTAGAAAAAAAAAATATTTAAAAATAATTTGATACTCATTTAATACTGTAATGTGTATGTTATATCATATAATCTTTATGTTACAAAGAATAATGCAATACAAGTATATCCTTATGTTTTCTTATTTAATATATTAGTTAATATTTTTATTTTTCATCTATTATTAATTGATTTTAAAGATTTTCGAAAATTTAATCATTATTGGCATAAAGAGTGATATAAACGTGCATACACAAAACATGTAACACTTTACAATTAGTAATTAGAAGGAGGATACGGATTGTAAGGATTTTGTTGAGGATAATAGCTAGGTTGTACATAATTATTACCTTGGGAATATGGAGTATATGGTGGAGGATTTTGTGGGTAACCGTTATATGCTGGCTGTCCATAGTTCGGATACGCACCTGCTTGAGACATTGGTTGGGCATTATAATTTGGATTAGCCCATCCAGGTGCTCCATTTTGTTGAGGTGGAGTCCAACTAGGTTGTTGACTGGAGTTGCCCCATACACCTTGTGGATGTACATTTACATATCCTTCATAAGGTGTATTTATACCAGGATATGGAGGTGGCATATCCGTCATATATACACTGTTTGCTATACAATACAAATTTATATCCTTTATATATACACACACACACACACACACACACACACACAAAATATTAAAAAATCAAATTGTACTGATTGCAGGAAAATGGATAAGATTTTTATAATATTGTCAAAATCTTAGAAAAACATAGATGTTTAACCTGGTGGAGTATTTGAAAATGCATCATTTCGTGGGAGCCAACCGTAATAGCCAGTTGGAGTAGTTTGATAAGCAGGTGGTGGAGCTGCATACCAGTTTGATGTTGGTGGTTGATATGGTGGTGGAGCATCGTTTGAAGGTCCATTACGTTGAGCTAAGAAGGTAAAAACAAAATATTGCACTGCTCAAAGATGATAAGAGGAAATTATTTATTTATTTTATATAAATTATTTATTTAT